TTCTCCTTGGCCTCTGCCTCTACCTCGACCCCTAGTAACACCAGCTCTAGGGGCAACATCATCGATAACTGCAGCTCGTGTCCTCGCTATATGTGAGAGATTGGAATGAAAAGGATCAAACTTCGAAATCAATAAACTCGCATGATAGGAATGAAAAAAGTGAAGTTTCCTAATAGTTCTGTAGCCTCTCAAAAAATAGGTACAGACATCTCTGTACCGATCTGCAAGACTCAACTAAACTTGCTTATGACTTGTAGCACCTATGAATCTAGAGCTCTGATACCAACTAGTCATGATCCCAAAATTTTCACCTTAGGATGTCGTGATGGTACCTAGTCCCTAAAACTAGGTAAGCCAAAACATGCTGAGTTATTAACAGATTTAAACCATTTAACCATTAAACAAGAATCAGTAATTGTTATACATAGCCAACACAACCATCAATAGATTTACAATATTCCAAAATCGATAGTACGAAGTCATAAACCTTTCTAAGAGTAGTTAAGAATATCAAATACATCACTGTTTGAAATAGAAGTAAACAGTAACAATGTAAAGCTACAGAAGGTGACTCTAAGACTTGCGAGCATAGTGGAAGGTATATCTTGAAATCTCCGTAGCAAATCTCCAACATCTAGCTAATGCCCGACACACTCAGAGGTACCTGGATCTGGAAAAAAATACGCAAAAGTGTAGCATGAGTGCACCATAGCGGTTCCCAATAAGTATCAAGACTAACCTCGGTAGAGTAGTGATGAGGTACAGTCGAGACACCTACTAGACATAATAACATGTGCAAGTATTAATATAAACTAACAGATGAACAAATATCAATATAAAGCTTAACATAGGAAGAATAACAATATAACACTAGCAAAAGAAAAGTAGAAGCAACCAATAGCAACAAAGAGTAAACAGGTGATAACGCCGCAAAGTAATTAGAACACAGTTAAAGTACTAGTGAACCGAATTAAGGAAAATAAATGACAACCAAATAATCAACTGTTCTTTCACAAGGTTTTACACAAGAATCACCTACAGGTACTACACCTCATGATCACAAGTTGCGGGTCCCAAATCATGAATCATAATCACGCAGCATCTCGTGCCCACATTACCAATCATAACTGCATGGACAACTTACGTGTTGCACGGACCACTCATGTGCCAATACCATTAATACCTCAGATTTGCAAGGAGGACTCACATGCCAATAGCAATAATACTTCCTATCCACTCGGGCAACTCACGTGCCAACAGTCCAATCCACGCACAGAAGGCAGGTATACAAGTATACATGTACATGATTAATAAACATCAAGTTTCATACTCCTTGACTGATGTAGGTGACATGTTACAGTGTATGCTTGTGCAAGTGTACTGTCACAGTTCAAGTCAACCGGTAAAATCAGAGACACCGAGTAGCACATTGGAAACAACACCACAAAACTGGTAATATGCATGACACACACAAGAAGGTCACACGACCAGACAAATATCATCAATAACAATGCCTCCAAGCTATCACAGATCAACCCTGGCATTCCGACTTTGTCTCGCCACGTGCATAACAATTAAGTAAATGCCCGCTTTTTCATGCCACACGTGCATAGATAATTATCCTACCTTGTCTCGCCACATGCACAAAACTAACATATATATGCATCCTGCCTTGTCTCGCCGCATGTACAAATATAAATAATTGCAATAGCACGGACAACTCACGTGCGAAACACCCCGACAATCCTTTCAACAATCCCACATGGGTAAAAATATAACAAGTTGCACCACATTTGCCCATTTACCACAATATTTCCATAACAACGAATCTGATACCACAACCACACAAAGCCCTTGGCTCAACAACACCGAGTACAACAACAAAAATAATACGGGAGTACGACAAGTACATCAACACAAGAATTACAACCTCGCAATAAAACGGAGGATTAATCTCAACAATGAAAGAGATAACAAGTAGTAGTGACTTCAAATAAGAATAACTCTACAATAAGAGAGATCACATGTAACAACGACTTCAAATAAGAATAAACCAACAATGGAAGAAATAACATGTCAATAAAAGAGGCAACAAATTCAATTAAAACATATAAGAGTATATTTGACAGTAAAAGATAGAAGATGTACTAATATTTCAATAAAACATGTAAGAGTAAATCTATCGTGGAGGATATAAAATGATAGGAAAACTTCAATTAGATGCATGAAAGAAGCCTAAAAGTCTAAACCCGTCAAATTTTCTACATATAAGGCCATGTACACACTTGTCATCTCATATACACGTCTTCCACGTAATTCAAATAGTGCAATCAAACCAATCTCTACGGGGTAGTCCCCTCCCCCCCCCCACAAAGTTAGGCAAGATACTTACCTCAACTAGGCTAAATCAACCCTTGAAAATAGAATTTACCCTATAACTCGCCTTCACACAGCTCAAATCTAACAAAAAATGACTTAATATCATCAAACAATGTAAGAAAAACCAATTACGATAGATAAAGTTATGATCTTTACACAATTCTTCCAAAAGTCAACAGAAGTCAACCCGAGCTCGCTCGGTCAAAACCTAAGTCCAAGGGTAGATTCCAACTATCCATAACTCCACGAGACTATATATGTATTTTTTTCAAATATGAATCCAAATCAACTCTCAAAACCCAAATTTTTATTTTTCAAAACTTTGACAAAAATCCCTAAATTACCTCTTTGATTCTAATTCTAATATATGATTATGAAATATAGTTGGAAATTGATCCGAACCACTGACCCAGTGATTATAGATTTAAATTCCCTCTCCAAATCACCTCCTACCGAGTATAGGGTTCAAAATATGAAAGAGAATGGGCTAACCCATCTGCAGTTATCGCATTTGTGACCAAAAGTTTGCAAATGCAACCATATGTTCGCAATTGCGACCAAAATTTCGCAAATGTGGTAGTTTACAATTACAACAAAAAGTTCGCAATTGCGATATACCAATACCAGCAATCCCAAACTTCACCGAAATGATCAGAAACCATTCTGAAACTCATCCGGAACCTCCCGGATGCAAACAATATATGCATTTCAATCATAAAACATGCTACGTACCTGCTCGCACACTCAAAACACTGAAAAGAAGTCGCAGTGACCCAATATTTAACATGGTCAAACTCCAATTTTCTTAACTTAACCATTCTTTCAACCAATGATCCAAAACACACCCACACCCCTCGGGATCCCGTCAAATCATACCAAGAAGTTCCAAAATATAATACGAACCTACTCGAGGCCTCAAATCCTGCAACATAACAACAAAACCATGAATCACACCTCAACTCAAGCTTAATGACCTATTTCAAATTTCTAAATTCCAAACTTACGCCGAACACCTCTAAACAACTCAGAATCTCCTCCAATTTTGCACACAAATTTCAAATGATACAACAAACATATTCCAACTTCCGGAATAAGAATCTGAGCCCGATAACTCTAAGGTCATCTCCTGGTCAAACCTATGAGCTTCCAAACCTTCAAATGACCAACTTTCGCCAAATAGTGCCAAAACCTTCTAAAAACATCTAAATGCAAATTCGGGCATATGTACAGGTCGAAAATCACCATCCAGACCTAACAAAACCCTAAAAACTCCGATCCGAAGTCAAATTCACAAAAGTCAAATCGGTCAACCCTTTCAACTTAAAGCTTCCAAATTGAAGATCATGCTTCCAAATCAATCCTGAATCACTCGAAACCCAAAACTGACAATGCACACAAGATATAATACACTATATGAAGCTACTCATGACCTCAAATTGTCAAATGAATTGCAAAGTAGATTGAGGAATTGTGAACATGTGATTTTTGCCCGACCAAAAATACTCCTACAAAAATTAAAAATACATTTTCTAAATTAGTTTTAGCTTTATAGGATTTTTGTAGGATTTTCTTAATTAATTATTTGTATTTTTGTGCACATTTTTTATATTTTCACAGAAAAATACCAAAAATATCAAGTAATCATTACATGGCATTTTCTTTAAGTTTTAATTATATTTAGAATTTAATTGCATAATTTAATTACATTCATTAAAACAAAATCATAAAAATATTACCACAGTCATGTCTCCATATTTAGTTTTAATTAATTAGTGTTAAATTAGTGAGAATAGATAATGATAATTTAAATAAAATAGATTAATATAAATTAGGATTTTTAGTTAGTTTAGGACTTTAATTAATTTGATTAAGTTTAAAATTAATTTTTAAAAGAAAAAAGAAGAAAGAAACAAAAAAGGGAGAAAATGAATAAAATAACCGATCTGGGCTAATTTCTGAGCCCAAAATTCGCCCTTCCGCCTGGCCCAATACCATTTACCCAACCCAGCTCTGTTGCTAGCCTAAACGACCGCGTTTTACTACCAAACAACATCGTTTAGTCGCTCTCAATCCTGGCCGTCGATCCTATGTAATCTAACGGTCCGGAACTAACCCACACCCCTCCCTTGTAACTATCCTAAACACCCCCCAAACCTAGAAACCCTAACTCATTTTCCATATCCCTCCCTTTAAGCCAATCCTAGCCGCTCCCAAACCCCTCACCTCCATAGCCGGCGGTTCCGCCACCAAACAGCCCCAAAACCCACTCAAACTCCTCCCCGATAATCACCAACACTTCCTCACCCCTAATCCATCATTTTTTTGTCCAAACAAACACCCATGCTCTTCAAATTTTAGATCTAGGAACATCTCCTTTCTCTTTTTCGGCAAGAAATAAAAATGGTGACACAAAGTATTAGCCACTAGGAATTTTCGGCCAATACTTATGTCATTATTTCCATGGCTAGTCAAAAAATTAGCTTGGGGTGTATTCTTGTGTCAACAAAGAAGTTTGATTAAATTTACCCATGCAAGGCCGAAATTTTGGTGTTGAATTCATCTTTTGTTTAGTTTTCTTTGTTTCTAGCATCTCTATTATTTTTTATGTATTTTCTGTTTTGTTATTTTATTTTCAGTGTATTTTTTTATTTTGTTTCTATTTTTTTTACTATCTACTTCTTCCTATTATTCTATTTTTTCTTTAACCAAAGACCATGGTCCAAAGACCCCTGAAGTTTGGTAGGATGCCAATGGGCTTTGCGGCCCAATTATTTCACCGAGAGGCGGGAGTTTTAATTTGGAAAGGTGAATAACAGTGTTGGTAAGGGTATTTAGGCTCAAGAAATATTCTGATAACTACCTAGGAAAGTTTTAGGAAAGTGAGGGTGGGGGATCGAATAAGTAAATAGTACAAAATTTAGGTAAAAATTGTGCAAAAAACAGATTTCTTGAGGGTGGTATTGAATTTAGAAATTATGATTTTGTTGCCCTAAAGAGAGTGTTATAAATACACATTATAGGTTAGGAACAAAGAAAGAAAAAAAGATAGACGACATTAAATTTTTTTTCGTTCTTTAGCATTTTGGGTCTTTAGCTTATTCTGGGTTTGAAGAGGAACTGGATAGATATTTTTATTGTTGCTGCTGTATTGGTTAAATTCCAACCCTGCTGAGCTCCATCTCTACAATTTTCAGACTTTATTTGTTTGAGTTCACTCTTTTAGTAGGTATGTAGATTTTCAGCTTTGTTATGAACTTAAAACAAAAAAAAAATTTGATTTGTTCATATGAATCTGTGATTAGTATTTCAGATATGTTGTTTCCTCCCTAAGTTTGCTTAATTCTCATTCTTTAATCAATGTCATGCTTTAAATGTTTGTTTCAATTAAATGTCAAAGTGGTTAAGCAAATAAATTGATATTTAAACAATGGTTCATGCGTGAGTTGGGCCTGCAATATCTAACTGATTTCAAGCGATTTCTGTTTTGAGTTGTATGATTAGTGATAGTTTTTTATTATTATTTTTATTTGGAATATGTGAGGAAATGAATGCTTTCAACTTAAGGCAAATCGTTTAGTTTAAAGTTTAATATAACTAAGGACTAGATATAGATTTGTCGGAGTGCAATTTGAATCATTCATTAGGATTTGTCTTGGCTTAGTCATAAAATGTGAATTTCATGTTTCTGGACGTGTCCCAGTATTTGAACCATGATAGTTGTTTATTTTTAGTAAGTAGACGTATCTTTTTACATTGCTGCTTCGTCCATCAGTATTACCTTTTTAGTCAAATGACTTCAAGTTACTTGCTTATTAAATAATTGTAACATCTACTTCATGGATTGACAGAATTATTGAAATGGCTCGAGTATGCATGCTTCGTCAATTAAAATCTATTCCATATTCTATGAATAAATTCCATAAATTCTTGGCATTACTCAAACTTTAGAAAATTTTAACTTATCAAACATCCGTAGTATGCTTTAGTGCAATCTTTTGAAATAAATCGAGGCGTGCCATTCATTAATGAATCCCATAATCTATGGCCCTCACATTAATACCAAAACAAGTGTGGAAAAGACTTGGAACATTCATAACTAGTGTATAAAATACTTTGAACATTCGTAGTTTGCTTTAGGCGCGTTTATAATAAATTATCATAGCTACGGTTACGGTTCTCGTGACGTAGTTGTGACACATAATTTTTCAAATTCGGGGGTACATTTATGTGACCCGACCACAACAACTAATAATGTTAATAATTTAAACACGTTATAAATCGTGGGTACCGTTCCCGTGACACGATGTTGCAATGTGTACCAAAAAAAATAAGTGTACGACAATCTTAACTTGTTCCGGAATAATTCCATAAATAATTAAAAGCGGTCAAAAGCTAAAAATGCACAACATGTAATTAATCAGGTAATTAGGCCAATAATAATAGTAGAGTGGCCGTGCTAAAACCACGGAATCCGAAAATGCCCAACACATTCTCCCGAGTTAACAGAATTCCTTACCCGGATTTCTGTGTTCGCAGATCATGAATAAGAGTCAACTTTCTTGATTCGAAGTTTTAAAACAGTGACTTGGGACATCCTAAATTATCCCAAGTGGCGACTCTGAATTTAAATAAATAATCTCGTTTCGATTATTGCCACTTTAATTGCAAAAACTCCCTTATACCCTTTTCGGGTGAAAAAAGGAGGTGTGACAGCCCTGGCGACTCTACTGGGGATAAGAACCCAGAACTTCTGGTTCAGGGTTTAGAATTCGAGGTTAGAATAATTGTTATATTTGGCTTTTATTTATTATATGATTTTTATTACATGCTTGAGCCTAATGTGCTAAATGTCGCTTTTTACCGCTTTGATATTATTGAACTGTATATAAACTGCTGCGAAACCCCTCTCTTCTAATCTTCTGGGAAGTGCACGCTGACGTGACTTCTTTTCTGTTAGTTTCATACCCTAATTTAGAACGAGGTTCGGACAAGTTACAAAGCCGGATGATCTTTTGGTTGCCGGTATACTGCCCCCTCCCCGACTCGAGTTGTCCGCTCGGGTAAGCTAGTTCTAGAACAATACACCCAGGTTTTACACTTAGAATAACACAGCCTCATGCCGGATCCCTAGTAGGAACATTTGTTTGCATCATATACATTTGACTTTGGGGACTCAACACAGGGGTTGGGTCCGTCTAGGACAGGTGTACCCGAAAATAAAAAGACCAACCTAATGCATTTTTACATTCTACTTGTGCATTCATTTATTTCGGCTTGCATGTTGACCGACTTCTACATTAGGTAAGAAAAATCAAAGAAAAACCAAGTTTGAGGTATAAGAGAGGTTTTCATCCGTTCCCCAAAAAATGATGTTCAAAATTTTCCGAAACTCTACCGAAATTTTGAAAAAAGAAGAAGAAGAGATTTTTGGAAAAAATAAAGAAAAAGGGGTTAGTCCAAAATGGTTTATGTTTTTCTCGTCGTGTCAAAACTGGTCGAACTACGCAGGTCTGATTCTCACCGGATGTGGGATACGTAGGCAACCCTCATCGGGTCCAGCCCCGCTTTTGAAAATTTTGGAAAAAAAAATGTGAAGTGTCGTCATTTTTGTCATAAATAAAGTGGGTGATGCCGTTTTTTTCTAAATAGCCAAGTGTCCCAACGGGACGCCGGAAGACTGTTTTTGGAAGAATAGCCATCGACGGTTTCTTTGACAGTTTTTGGCCACCTAGCAAACACAACCCTAAAATCTTCCCTTTCGAAATACTGAAGGGCCGTATTTGCAAAAGTAGCCTTGATTTATTTGAATTTTGCAAAGTGAACCTTTATTTATTTATTTTATTAGCTTTTGAATAAAAACTCACTTTGTTTTAAACCAATTACCTTAATCTAAACGTGCAGAATAAGCACGGGTCAAAATTTACCAATGAAGGTCATGTCCAAGATTTCGTTGGAACTACACATGTGGTGGGAAGATTTGGGTGGGCAAGGATGAGACATGGTCAACCATTACTTGGGGGTGCTCACTGGATTACTAAAGATCAAGCCTGGGAGACATAATAAAGGCACTTGTGACATTTTGGTACCCAGCTCATAGCGTTCTGCATTTCTCGGACTTCAAACTCACACCCACTTTGGAGGAGATAACATGTTATGCTGGGAGTGCCGAAGGTCTAAGACATAAATACCTGGTTACTCCAAGGGTCGTCACCCCTCACAAGTTTCTGGATTTGCTAAAAATAAGCAGGCAAGTCCAGTATGCAGATTTGGCGGCTGGGTTTTCCACTCTACACTTCATATACTAGCGGTACGGGCATGTAAGAGGGTTTGATAACCCGAAAAGTGGAATCTACAGCAAAAGGAACCGATCAAAGTGGGAAGAGCATAGGTGCTTCGCTTTCATGGTGGCATTCTTAGGTCTTCTAGTGTTTCCCCGGAAAGATGGGAATATTGATCTACGGGTAGCTGGAGTCGTCAATGTTTTGATTACTAATGCCAAGAGCACCCCGCCCCTATGATAGTATCTGAGATATTCTGAGCTCTCACGGCCTGCAAAGTCGAGGAAGATTTTTTCGAAGGGTGCAATTTGTTACTACAAATGTGGATGATTGAGCATCTATGCCACCGTCCTCGATATATGAATTACGAATCTACAGGAAAAAACTGCATTAAAGTGTTCGACACAAGGGTCTCAGGGTTCAAACTACCAGAAGGGGTTGGAGATTGGATATCCAGCCTTTGTTTCATAACTGCACGACAGATAGAGTGGACATTGGGTTGGCTTCCTATTGAAGAAGTTATGTACATGCCTGCCACCGGTCCTTACTTCCTCCTAATGGGCCTTCGAGGCATCCAGCCTTATGCCCCATACCGGGTGTTGAGATAGTTGGGAAGATGCCAAGTAGTTCCCTAGGATGAAGATCTCAGTGTTCATGCAGTTGAAGTCCGCTTTGATGGCCAATTTCATGAAGAAGTAGTTCGCCATATTTGGAATGAGTGCCAATATCTGACGGAAAAAAACACCCGAGTACATGGCTTGTCTAGAGGTGAGGTCTCGCCTGGTTATCTTGCTTGGTATAGAAAGAAGGTCACTGCAAGGGTCGAACTTGAAAGGCCAACCAAAAGGCCTCACATCCAGGAATTTGTTGAAGGGTCGCAAGAATAATGAGCCTGGTTGGCCAAAGAAAATGAGTATAAGGCCACCATAAGCAAGTTAGAGGGGCAAATCAGAGACCTTAAATTTGAGAACGGATTGCAAGCCACTGCAGATGAAGGTGAAAAGAAGATGTTGGCCCAAGAAATGAAGCCCTGCGAGCCCAGATACAGAAAATGAAAATGGCAGCTGAGAATCCGATCAGGAGTGGAACAAATGAAAAACTTATAAACGGTCTTAGGCAAAAAGTGTATGACTTGGGGGTTGACTTGGAAAAAACTGAGGGTGAACTAGCAAAGGCCCAAGCAAAGTTATCTAGGAATGCGGAAGAACGAGCAAGTTTCGTTCGACAGTTGAAGGAAAAGTACAACAAAGGAATCATGGGTCTAGAGAAAAAGATCAATACCCTTGAGAGTGAAATGACCAAACAAGCAAAGAACTTCAAAGCAGAAAGAGAACACTGTTATGCCTTGATGTCGCAACTAGAAGAGGACCTGCAACAATTGCAAGAGCAAAATCATACGACCACACAAGTTTTGGAGGCCAGATCTCAACAAATTGGACATCTACTACAAGAGAAGGGTGTCATCAGGGAGAGGATTAGAAGGATTGCTGACTATATTGTGATGAAGTGCAACGAATACGAGGACATGACCAGGTCCATGTTCTTCGCTGCAATTATGATTTTTGTCCGTCAGATAATGGACGACCTATATCGCCTCCAAGAAGATATGGCACGTAGGCCCGCGGCAAGACCGACTGATGTCTCGTGGGCCCCTGGAGCAGTATTGGAGGCACTTATGTATTCTTCATTTTATTTTTCAAGTCTATATTGCAGTTTCTTTTACAGTCTGTTAGTCCACTTTC